CCCAAGAGTTGGCGGTGGGTGGTGATGACTAGCTGCCTTCCCTCTAGTCTTACACTGCTAAATTAGGGACGGCTAGCGCAGATAGCCCTCGTGTAGCTTTGCGCGAAATTCAAAATAAACAAACAAACATACTCTTTATGTCCCCTGGTGGAACAGCAGTAAGTTTACAGTCTTACAGCGCTAAAATCCTGGGTTCATTTTCTCGCGGTGGACACAACAGATAGACCAATGTGACTATCATTAACCTTTATACAAAACTAACCAATCACATACATCAGATACACATATTATATCAATGTGTATCACTATTAGAAAGACATAACTATTAACTGTCAACAAAATTTGAGTGCAGAAAGCGGGGTGAAACAACGTTAAAAGGTCAGAACATGGCTGAGGCAAATATTATAGGAAATGCGTTGGGATGTTTCCTTTGTTGTATTCTTAGGTATATTGAATCCCTACAATTAAGAGCAGTAACTGGACTTCTAATCTGAGAAAACTGAAGAAGAAAAACTGGGTGTAATTTAAAACAATGTGGAAGGATCAATACTTATTTATCTATAACAACAAATATACACAACCTTGTATAACCAACAAATGCAAGGACATTGAACAGCACTACATTTCTAAATGAAGAGAAATAAAATCTGAAATTGTGAGCTAGACTAAGAAAACTAACCACTATATAATTATTAATTCCTACAGTAAAGTAGACACAGGAACCATGGATATTTAACTAGTAAGTTATTAGTAATAACACCTATTTTCAGGAGTGAAAAAAAAAAGCAAGTTAAGCATCCTACTAAGCAGAGTTGAGACTGGATGACTACAACAGGAGTTTTCCACAGTTGAGGTGATCAGGCAGCAGTTCTTAAAGATCATATTTAAAGGAGTTAAACTGAGACAGATCATGATTTTCTCCATGGAGTGTGGACCTTCAGGGGTTCCTGAATCAACAGTGGGTTGACTTTTCACCCACTAAGACTAATAAAACTGGTTAATTCTTGAAGATAGTTAACCTGTTTACTTCTTAATTCTTCTGTATAAAATAGGATCTAGTAAGATACCAGTAAGGGTTTCTTCAAATCAAACCTAGAATGCCTAGATCCATATGCTCCTTATTATTTTGGATAAAACTGTAACAAATAAAGTTTAATACATGATAACTGAACAGTAAAAGGAGAGGGAGGAACATGTGGTGGTAGAGCTGTTACCAATTAAGTTTGGTGAAAAACAACTGTGCTGTTTAATATACCAAATTAAGGTCTCAAAGACAAGATGGCAGCAAATTTTTGTCATTTATGTAAAAGATGTGCTCAGATCTTAAAAAAATTAAAAACACAACACTTGTTTAAAGATATTTATTAAGAACTCAGTTAAAACAAGATTTAGTAAGGCATTGTGCCTTCAAGAGTTTTTAAAATACTCTGTACTTTTAAATATTGTTTTAACTGAGTTTTTAATATATGCTCAGATCTCCTCTTTGGAATGGGAAGGTGTTCTGGTTAGCAAACCTAAAGGAACCAATAAGTAAAGCCTTGCACCAGCATATTAATGTGAAAGACCTTATACCTTGGAATGAAGCTATGTTACACAAGCTCAAGTACAGAAATGAAAAGGTTATTCACAATCAGCATGAAAAACACTCATATGCAAACCTCTATTACAAAAGTATTGGACAATAATTTGTTTGGTAGTGGTATACAAAAATTAAAAAAAACAACTTATAACCTGAGTTCTTTCAAGAGATATAAGTTCTGGGTATTTGAGTTGTAGGGTTTCCCATTATTGTCTTTCATTGATATTTTGAACCTAAGTGTTTTCTTAAACCATCATAAATGCATCTGGTATAGTTGGATTGAAACAACAAGCAAAAGTAGCTGTCTATGCCATGTATATACTTGCTAATACAAAGTACCAGAAGCAGTAATTGGTGAGTAATAAGTCTGAGAAGAAGAAAAAAAGGTAGAGAGAGATCCAATAGAAAGCACGAAATGAGTCCCATTAAATTAATTTGTGTAAATAGCAAAAGTCTATAAGCCATGCACCCACAGTCAAGCAGTTTGATGTACAGAATGTTTTATCTCCTAATTAGTTAACTGTAATTTAGGGATGACTTATTGAGGTTCCTGGTGTGTCTAAGTGGAATGAATTAATTGAAAATTTGATAAGCTTAAAATTAGCCCAACATTGAAGTACCTGATGCATAAGCAGAAAAAACAAGGAAAGAAGACACTCACAGAGCAGAAAAGACTGCGTTCCAGAAGTTGAGAGGCCACAGAAAGTTATGCAGACTCATTTGGCTGTGATAAACAATGAATTTACCTGGTAATTAAAGATATGAAAACGTAATAGAATGCAGGAGAGAGAGAGATAAAAATAGCTGGCAAAAATCTGTGTTTATAAGTAGCTGAATCAGAAGCAGTTCCCCAATACTATAATGGGGTGCACAGGATGAACACCAGGCATCTCCATTCTTGGCAGTCCTCAGCAGATTTTATCCACTCTTCAATGAAGTTCAGGTTGAGTAATTTTCCCCTCTATTTTTGTTGTTCCTTTTGGGTGCCATACTATGGCCTGTTTTGGAAGTCAGTTTTAGAACATGGCTAAGCACTTCTGGTTTACTTTACATTATTCTTTTAATTCTTTATTGGTAACAACATCATTTCCCCTAATGAGGAGTAACTTCAAGAAGCACTTATTTTGAAATGAAATTAGTGTCTGTTCTAGGTTTATAGGCCCAAGGTGGTTGAGATTAAGAGTAAGCAGTGTAAATTGCACATCATGCAGCAATACCCTCCCTTAGAATTGGATGAGTGGGTGAGCTAACTTATGTTTAGCATGAAGAGTCAGATAATGGTTAGTACAAAGGTTAAATATGTTATATTACAATGGTTTTGGAGTCTCACCACATTGTTACAGTCCATGTTACAATATATGGTCATACAACCATATATCTAGACAACAGACCTGCAATGTAGTTTCTGTTGCAATAAGCTCCATTGTAAAGCTGTCATGATAAAAGCACACAAATGCTCCCTGCATGCTTTCCACATTCCATCTTGACTATGAAGACCAGTGCTGTAGTACTAAATTTTATAGTTCCAGAACCCTGCCAAAAAGTTTAAGATATGTGACATCACTATCAAGGTAAAGTTCTCATATTTAAAATCTAATTTCCATTTTTGTGAGTCCATTTTAAATAAAGAAAATATATGCAGCACTAATTATTTGAGACTTTTTACATTAGCATTAAATATAATATGTATATGTTACTGAGAGAAAACATACAATTTAACTTCCTTTAAATTAAGCAACAAAGAAAAACAACAACTGAGCACCATAAAAAATCACTAACATTAAAACAAGTTTTAAAAAATGCATATCTTGTTAATATTTCTAACTGCACTACCATATTAACAATTTTGACTTTTATAATGCTTTGAAAATATCTCCTTTCCTGCCAACATGAATAACTAAAAAAGAAAACCTTTGTACAAGTGACTTGACCAGTATGTCTTGATATGGAATAATATAAATTCCCAAGCTGCTTGAGATATGTAGTAGTTGAAGTTATAAGTGTATTTTGTCAGTTTTAAAGACAGTGTTCTTTCTTGATTATGTTACTTGGGACACATGGACAGCTTTTGCCGCTGTCCTTTGTGTTTATAAATTTTCAACTGTTACAAGACATTGTACATTTCTTACCATGGTTTTAATATGATTTGTTGAAGATCTCTTTCTGGACAGTGTTGGTGTCCAAAGTTGAACCATAGACCCTCATTTTCCAATGCTGTTTAGTGCAAGGGATATCTCAAAATTGAAAATGCTAAATCCACAACCCGAACACATATTTATAATCCAACTGTATAAATATTTTGCAAAAAAGTCTGTTAGATACCATTACCAAAAACAATCAATTTTCAGTGGCATCACTCTACCTATGGAATGCCAAACAATGTCAAAATGTATTTCTAATACATTCTATTCCACCATGATTTTATATTTGTCGTTTGTCATATAGCCTACTGATTTGCATATTCAAAATCATCTCAATATAATATACTCAATTCTCTGTATAATGCTTAAAATTCCAGATTTCTTTTGTTTGGTATCTTCTTACACTGATATTCATAAACTGTAGACTGATGAAGACAGCCCAAAGGGATTGTGGTGGTAATTGTGAATACCAGCAATACTAGCTTGCTGATTTGCCAGTTTTTCAGAATGATGAGTAAAGTTAATTCAAGTAAAAATTATTAATAATAATAATAAATAACTGGTGTTAAAGTAAATAGAAAATATTGTGTTATTAATCCTTAGGCTAATTTCTATTTGCGACTCATGAAGTATTGATAAAAACTACACTTTACCAACTCCATGTGTTTCACACTTCAGCATTTTTTGTTCACGCAATTTCATAGTGTAAATAGGGTCTTTACCAGTACTGTATCTGTCATGTTTCAGCCAGCCTGGTTATCTCATCAAAAGGCTAGTTTCCAAAATACCAGTTCTTTAATGAAGAAAGACACAAGTAATGCTCAACAACAGAAGTAGAATATCACCAGAGCTTGTATACTGTTGGGTCTTTTTTATCCTAATAAGTTAACTTTGCTGCTAGCTTCCTCTCACTATAAAATCGCTGACAGGATTTCCACCAGCATATTATACTAATATTTATATATTTTGGACAGCAAGCCAGGAGGCAGGTGCAATGATAGATGGTGATCTGATGTTAGTGTTGCAAAGGAGAATATATGGACGGTACTAATGCAAATAAATGTTATGTTATTGTAGTTTGTAACTCAAAATGTGTACATGTGCAAGTTTTCTCAGTAAATACTAAACACTGTGTGGGGTTTTCTGATGTATGAATAGGAAAAGAGTGAAATCGAAATATAAGTTTCAAAACTGTTTAACATGTAAGTAAACTTACATTTATAGATTCTTCTGTAGGTTAAGATTAATTAAACTTTATGAACAAGTTTAGGAAAGAGAGTTTTTTATGTGTTTACTCAATGCTTTCTAAATTTAACACCTGTTAACTTAATGCTAGATGAAACTAGCATTATAACTGAAAAAAGGTATTACTGTTTTGTTCCTGAAATTCTATTAACTTTGTTTTCAATTAGCTTTGCAAAAAAAATGGTGTAGAAATTAGTAATTTGTTACAGAAATTATGATAAAAAAGGTTAAGACGTCTGACACACGTTTTCTACCCAAATAAATGGTGTTTGTATAATTTTTCTAATTATTACTCCAGCATTCATCTCTGATTTTTTAAGCATAAAATAAGGGCCATGCTTATGTCAAGTACAACTCTCATGTAATGGTATCAATGACTGAATTCCATGGTCGATGTTCATACCTCTTTCTACTTCACAATGCATTAAGCTTTACTGCACAGTTTAAGACAAATGAGGTGTATAATGTGCCTCAACTAGCTCAGATTCCTGACCCAAGTCACTTTTGATCATGAAATATCAACTGAGGAACAGACCCACCATCCTAGTGGGTGGGTCCATTTCAAACGATTATTACAGGTATGTCAGATATTAAAGAAAATATTTAAGGTAAACATGCAAAAAGTAGTATTGATTGCTAGTTTGGTCATGTTAATTTTACACAATGTGCTAGAATAATTTTAAAATTCATTATTAGCATTTTACTACTTTGCAAATGATATAAATATATATCTTAACATGATCACATAGTTTTTTTTTTTGAAAATACATCAGTTAGCAAGTATGTCTAATCTTCTGTTTAAAACTGTTAGAGACACAGCAAACATAGCATTATATACACAAAACAATAATGTTATTCTTCCATGGTTACAGGCACTACCCAGATGATTGTTGGATATTCCTATCACAAAATAGTGGAGGTTATATCAGGATCTACCAGTGTAAAAGATCACTGTCTATTTCTACATAGTATGCACCACTTTACAGGAATCTTTTCCATGATAGTCATGTGACACCCTAGTAGAATGACACAGTTTACTCAGAAACTAGAGTGAGAAGAACTTAGTTGTTCCCTTGACAGACATTCTATATTAAAAGTTAAAACTGCATACCGAGTAAGAACAGAAATTGTGAAACTTTTATATTAAATAATGAGATAAGAAATGTGGAGTGCCTCTGTACCACATCAACACTCAGTTAGTTTGAAAGAAACTCAATATTTGTATTTAATCTAAATAATGTAATCATGTAAATAGAAAATAAGATTAAACCATTTTTATTTTTGATAAAATAACTCACAGTTTTAGTGCAGATGCTATTACTCCATTTGTTGATCTCTGATATACAAATATCAACACTAGTTAACATTATATTGGATTGTATTTGTCTATAAAGATAAACTATCCTTTAATATTGTTTAGACATCAAATATCAGTTGACTGCATCATTGGTCTACCTTCAACTAGAGTCAATGTTTCAAACACACAATTGTATTCTTCGGGTGACAAAATAAGTACAGTACTTTCTTGATGCTGTGTACAAATATTCTATTTTACGTTCCTGAATTAAACTTTTTAGTAACTTTGTATAATTTTGGGTAAATTTCTTTTATCTCAACTAGAAGATGATTATATTGTTTGTTTCTTTCATGATGACGAGGAACCCACTTGAAGTAAGAATATATATACATATATAGCAGAGACAGTTAATATGGGTTTAGAAAACTTTTATTTGAAAAATACAAAACAAATAAAGACATTTTGACCTCCTTAGATCATCATCAGTTAAGAATAAGATTTGAAATCTCATTCTTAATCTGATGATGACCATAGGAAGTCAAAATGTTATTTGTTTTGTGCTTTTCAAATAAAAGTTTTGGACAAATGTACATGAAGGTTATCTGTGCTAGTCATTCCTAACTTTGAAGTGATAGGCGGCTAGTCAACACCACCCATCATAATCACTTCAGTTGACTGCATCATTGGTCTATCTTCAACTGGAGTCAATGTTACAAACACACAATTGTATTCTTCGGGTGACAAAATAAGTACAGTACTTTCTTGATGCTGTGTACAATATTCAATTTTATATTCCTGAATAAAACTTTCTAGTAACTTTGTATAATTTTAAGTAAATTTCTTTTATCTCCACTAGATGATGATTATACTGTTTTGATTCTTTACAGAATCTTGGACAAATGTACATGAAGGTTATTTGTGCCAGCCATTCCTAACTTTGAAGTGATAGGCAGCTATTCAACACTACCCATCATAATCACTTTGGCTATTGCTGTCAGACCAAACAGTGAGATTTGACGAGCACCCTTAAAATGCATCCAAAGTGCAGAATACAAAAACCACAGATCCAAAGTCAAGCACTAACCACCAGGATAAGCTTCACCAGGGATTTACCATGATTATATAAACTCTTATAAGTAGCAGTTATATAAAATTTCTTACTTAAAAAACATTTGGTAAAAAAATATTGTCCACAGAATTTTAGACAGTTACCATCTTTTTTCATTAAATGTTTGAGTAGCTTCATAAAAGTGTAAAGATTCTTAAAAACTTTTCTTTGACACATTTATTGCAGCTTGGTAAACATACATACATAAAACAGTTTTCAATTATATGTAGTTTCAAGCCTTCCAGTTTACTTTACTCACTAAAATATTTCAAAAATTATGTTGAAATTAACTACAAAAGGTAAAAAATAATTTTTAAAGATATTAATATATTATAACCTGATAATGAAGCCTTAATTTCTTCAAAACAGTTTGATATTTTTTTACTTATTTAAACACTCACATTATTTTATTTTAAAATGGCCTTTTATAAAAGATGCCCTCTACATTTCATATTATTATTATTTCTTTTGATGATAGCTTATAAGTGCACATGGGAAAATATACTGAAGTTTGTGCTTTTCCTGTGCCATGTATTTTTAGAGGTAAGACAAATTTCAAACTATATATATAATGTTATTTATTGATTTTTAATATTAAGAACTTTTTAATTTGAATACTACATTATATATAACGTTGTAGTGTTATTTCTGGCTTTGGGTTTAACTTATTTTTGTTAATCTTACACACAGGGTGTCCTTGATTACAACAACAGCACAAAACTGAGTGTACATGCCTTACAGCCCCTTTTTCCACCACCAACAGTGCTCTACATAACGGGCATTGTATTACTCTGCAGCTTAATTTCCACTACTGGAAGCTCTTGCATAATACATTGAGGTCAATGTTGTCTCCCTGCTTTAAAAAGTCCATCAATCATGTGTGGACAATTTCCATTTGAGCAATCCAAACGAGCAGAAGTTCATAGGAATGTTTGTAAATGGAATTACAAATTACCATTTGTGTTTGCATCTTGCAGAATAACTGGAATATTCATATAAATATGTGATTGTATGCTTTGTTTAATGGAACTGTGTCTTATTGATATCCAAGCCATTCAAAGATTGCATTCCCTCAAGGTATAGTGGATTAAGGTTTAGTTTGATAACAAGCAGATTTTGCTTTGACATTTTCTTGATTTTCCCACATGTTAAGCTTAATACTACAGCTTTAACTTTCAATCACAATAAATCCCTTGGAAAACTTTTCTTGACAAACTCTGTACAATTTTTTTAAAATGCTGCAGCACTAGCAGGATGACAATAAATTGCCCAGAATTTTGCATATATTTAAGTATGTAAATGCTCCATTCAATGTGATGTTTCCATCTATAAAATGCTACTCTTGACAGTTATTCCATTTAACCTGGACTCTTTGTCACTTTTTTACAGACATCAATACATGTAAATTATATTGTTTGAAGTTCTAAGAGAGGTTCCCATTTTAGCTGCAGTGAACTGCTGTATTCTTAGGTTCCTTCTGTTTAAAAGGTGTTTCACTTTCTTCACTATACCTGGTGTATAACTGGTAGCCAGTCATAAAATAGTCTGCTTTCTCCCTACTGAAATCACACTTTTCTTTGATTTATCAATACAGCTCAACACTAAAAACATTCCTTTTTTTTTGAAATATCAACTTTTGTGTCTTGCATGTTTTTATCATAAAATAGGAAACTTAGTGTCAGAAAATCATGATATGTAACCTCCCAAAAATTGAACAAAATTGCAACGAGGAGGTGCAGGGGTTTTAATCAGTGTAGTTCCAGACAAAAGGTATGATTACTGGATGTGCATGCATAGCATGTAAAATGATTTCAAGATTGTAAATGTTGAACAATCTTTCTCTCAATCCTACCTAAACACTTCCACATTGTCAGATACTTATGATGTCACTGAAGATGACATATTTTTTACAATTTCCATGTTTATTCCCAATTCAATCCTAAGTAAGGAAGGTCTGTCAACTACAAAACCCTCAGTTTATTTGTACTGTGACTTATTTACATTCTAATCCTAGAGGATATATTAGTACTTTGAATAACTAGAATATATGTGCATGTAAAACAAACACATTACAGTTTTACATAAAACTATAAGCAGTACTATACAGTTATAAGTATGAGGAGGAAATAAATGGCTTTTATTCCCACTCACACAAATAATACTTCTTTGCGACCTAACATATGTTCTATGTTGTTAGCTCTATTTAAAGGCTTGTTCTGCAATTTTTCAGTAACTAAGTCCTTTTTATTTTTCAAACAATTCTCCATCTTTTTTTAATAATTAATTTGTTTGGCATACATACCTTCTATGCAGCTTTGTTCTCTCCTCCTACATCAGAAAATACTGCAACATCTGACATACACCATGAAAAAACTTAGCCAAACACACTGTATGGTCTAAATACGGATAGTAAATTTCAGTGCAAGTTTACATCTTATTACAACCTCACTGTATTGGATGCAACCTTACCCTAATGAGGGTGGGAAGCTGAAAGGTTGATGAGAAATTTGCTTTTATTACTTTGAAGACTATATTTTTTGGAAATAACGACACATTTTCAGTGTATGTTGTGTAAATTTAAAAGTAGCTGCCACACTTCAGTTTTAATAAAATATTATTTCTTAAAAGATATTAATCTAAACATCACAACTATGTTTGTTTTATATCAAAGTCCAAATTTTCTGAAGTGTTAGACAGAATAGTTTTGCAATCTTTTCTTCTCACCATTTTGCACAATCAACTTTACTTCAGGATACAGATTAGGTGAATTGTAGTAAAACATGCTGTCTCTACATATCACACCTTGACTTCTTTTGTGTTTCATTATAACTAATTCCTCTACACTTTTTCACTGACATTTGATAAAATCCTAGAAAAGCACAAGACAAAAAATTGTTGCAAAAGATGGGTCAGGGAATATGGTTGGAAGAGTTGTACTGATTATATAGCCTGATGTAGCTTATGCTCACACTATTTCAAGTTTCATAGCTACTTGCATACTTGACCAACGTGTGAATTTCCACACGTTGAACAGATTTTATATCCTTAGTTGTCTTTCTTCAAAAGGTGTGGGTGGTTCGAGATTTCAGTCTCTGATAAAAGAGTATCTGTGGCTGTAGACATCCAATGATACATACAGGCTATCATTTATAAGTCACCTTACTATAAAGATGATCCATTATGTGCATGTCTGTGTGTTAGCATCAATCACCCAGAGTTGACTGGCTCAATTACCATAATTTTTGGTACAGTAACTGGAAACTGTACAATGATCTACTTTGGCTGTTTTGTCTTAGAAATTTTGCCTGAGAATAGGGAAAAAAAAAGCCCCTGAAAGAGCACATTTCCACTTTATAAAGACTCTTGGCTTACATCACCCACAGTTGGCTGGCTCGATTACAGTAATTTTGGTGTGGTAACTGGAAACTCTTAGATGGCATTCACACTGCAAATTTACTTGAACTGGTGTACTGTATATAGGTGACCCCAGATAAGCTCATATAGTAGTATCAACATATACATTTTAAAAGGCTTTCAATAATATTTCATTTCTAATCTTTGTAGCTGTCTTCTACGTAAGAGTATTTATTACTAATTGAAGTATTTCTAAATAAAACCATTTACTTTTCAGTATTTTTTCTAAATGTTTAAATACATTTATGTCAACAGAAAGCTACATAAAAACTTAATTTTAAATTACATTCACCCTATTTAGGTATTAAAAATGCACATTTCAGTGACAAAATCCTTAAATGAAGGTCTAAGTTTTTTATCATTATTAAAATAGATTTCAATACTTAGGTAAAAGCCAAAAACTATGAAAAATATTTTCCCTTTATGATTTTGTGTAAATTAACAGGTATTGTAAACATATACCAACATATAAGTTTTCTTACAACACACTTGAACTGATGTGTTAATCTTTAAAGAAAATATTGCAGAAATTAAGAGTACATTAGATAATATGTTCATCTTTCAATCTTTAATAGTCCAAATTCCTGAGGGGATAGGCAGTTACAACTTTACCTTTGTGAAAGTATGACTAAGTATGCTAATGTTATGCATTTTGTAATTCAGTTTTCATAACACAAGTACTTTCACAATTTACGAAAGAATGAACCAGTTAATATACAAGTCACTGCCAAACACAAAGTACAAAACTGTGAGTTACAGCCATCAACTGTTGTTAATTTCTTAGTCATAGATTTGTCAATCACTTAAACTTTCACAAAAAAACAATGTTTTTACTTACACTGTACATGACTTATTTTTTAATCCTTGTTATTTAGATCAATGTAGAATAGTTATGACATTACTTTTTTTTCACCTATGTTTTCAAAAAAGCATTTAAACCAGGATCAAGGTATTGATGTTAAACTAGTAGATATAAATGTTACTATATCAAAGCTGTAGTACTAAATTCACTTTTTCACAGGTAGTTTCTTAAGTATGATGAAGTTAATATCATTAAAGACTGAAGAATACAAAATAAAGGCAGGTAAAGAAAACTCATCAGTATATAAGAATGAAGAAAAATCACTTATCACTGCAAATTAAAATTTTTTTTCATGTCACAACTAACACCATAAAAACAATGAAGTGAAATAAAATATGTTTATGTGTTCTGCTTAAAAAACAATCATGGCACACAAAAGGCCAACATCAAGTCTACTAGTGGTACATTGTACAGTATATAATTAATTGGGATACAGAGTTTTATTAATATTGAATTCTTACTATACATTCTGTCTGAAATAATTTACTAAATATTTATACAACTTTTAATTTTAATGTATCTTATTAAATATTACTACCTCTTTTGATAATATTTTGTTTGATTTGAGGCAAATAGAAAATCAACAGTATATCAGGGCATTAATTTAGTGAAAAATATTACCTTTTTTCTTCATAATTTTGGGAAAAAAATGTGTGAAAATTATAAAATTTGAAAGTGATTTTTAAATTTTTGTCTGAAGTTGTGCCATAATGCTGTAACACATGATTACTGAACAAAGTAGACCAGATCTTTGCTTTTAGCCTTTGAAAAGATTGCCTGAATACTGGCAAATACTACATCAGGTTTCAATGTAGCATCAATTTGTGTGTGAAGACCTTGCTTTTGGTAATACTGAACTAAAGGCTGTGTCTGCTGATAGTAAGATTCCATCCTCTTCCTCAGAGCCTCTGGTTTGTCATCTGATCGCCGAATTAAAGGCTCTCCAGTAATCTATAAGGAAAATAAGTTTATATGATAAGTCAACCAAAACATATGTTTAGAACAAAACAAAAATAATTAATTAAATGCTTCTTATTAATATTCTCAGCTCTAAATATACTCTATCTGATTTTAATATGGATAATGAAATTGAGAGTAAATATTTCACAATTAAAATGAATTATATAAAAGGACAAAATATTTTGGGTGGTAAACTGTTTTGTTAATATACATAGTTTGAAACCAGCTTACTTCGTGAAAAAAAAAGTTTTAGACAAATGTGAAGAAAATGCTTGAAGAATAAAAGCAATAAACTATATCACACCAAATTTAAGCCTAAAATAGTTAACAGATGACTAAAATGAAGTTATAAGTTTAGATTTAAATTTTGCCATACTGAAAGACTGCAACTTCTCCTAATTTGTAAAATAACCAATAAATTTGGTCTTTTAAAATTCTGAAGAAAATTTTTTTGGGTTTTTCAGCACTACACCTTTCAACTGGTTCCTATTCTTAAATTACTTGCTTTCTTACTAATATTTGTACAGTCAAATATCTAAGTTGAACTGTTAGTCTCTTTATCAATTACAAGATAGCAAGAACATTATCATCCAATGGGTAGATAACAGAAGAAAATCAAAACTATGTTAGCATCATGAACAACACAATTAAAGACTTGAACGAGTTTGAGAAGTGTTATTTATAATTAAGCAACTGACTTATTTTTTAAATTTATAGCAAATTACAGAAGCTTGGCTTGTATTAAAAACAACAAAAAACAATAATTGAAAAGTTTTTAATTTAGTGATTGACCACCTCTACTTCGAAGGTGTGGCCTTTTGTAATCAAGATGTGAAACTTTCTGCACTGTATGACAATTCAAGCTGGTAAATACAGATGTATATTACCCTAAACATTTAACACAATTAATAAAAATGTGACAAATGAAGCCTATACGATTGGGAATAACATTATTTTATAACACAAGTTGGATGCTAAACTTAGAATTACTAAATAACTAAATCAATATATAAATAATGTGTGTGTAGTTACATTGAACAATTAATAAACTTGTATGTAATTTCAATAGTGTAAAAAAAAAAAAAGATGGTGTAATATGACTTTATAAACCCTTTCTAGTCACAAGATGCAATAAAAAATTAATGAAAGTGAACAGAAAAGGTCACTTATTCGATTTAATTTTTGAGATAAATTTTAGAAATCCTATAACAGAAATTTTTTATATAGCAAGGAAGTTTGCTTGACCAACACAGGTAAGTATAGTGCAGTAGTATATTACTGATTTTAATCACAAAAAAATTGTTTATTTGTCCAAGAAGATGTCTACTTAAATAACAGAATAGTGAGACAGGTCTGTAATTATGATGTGACTTACTACAAAGCATTGAGCTATCAAGTTCACTGTTGAACTGTAAATTTGGATAGGTCTTGGTTGCTGTTGTTTCAAAGCAGAGCTACATAATGAGCTATCTGTGTTCTATTCGCCACAGAGAATCAAACTCTGGACTTCAGCATTATAAGTCTCTAAACTTACCACTGACTCATCAGGAGATGAATACACCTAGGCAATTTTCTGAGGATGACACAGCATTTTGATTTGTTTGTTTTTTGTAGTTAAGCACAAAGCTACACGATGGGCTATCTGTGCTCTGCCCTCCATGGGTATCGAAACCCAGTTTCTAACATTATACATCCAAGAGATACCACTGTGCCACTGGGGAGGCCAGCATTTTGAAATGTAAGTGATAGGAAAAACAAAATTGATATCAATTTGAATGTTTTCCTCTGAATGATTGTTAAAGTCCACTAACACAATGTCAAACAACTAAGGTTAGTCATCATGCCACAAAAAACAAAAAAGTTATTCAAATTTCATATATGATGACAAAAGTTCATGTAATCCAAGTTTTCATATCAGTGTTATTTGTAATTATTAGATTAATAAGTCATTTTGCTCATTAGAACAAAAAACTAAGTGTGGTAATTTTATTCACAGATAGTTGTTTTCTATAGTTCTTTGAAATGTACATTGATAAAGACGTCTACCGTATACATTTAAAGATATCATAGCATCTAATGCATTGATATTGTTTCTGGACTAAATTTTGTCAGAACTAAATCAAGCGAGCTTATGATACAATATTCAGATGTTAAAATTTGTTATAAGTTATATATTCAATGTTTAAATTTAGTTTTCAATGCATGACATTAAAGTAGGCATAGCTGACATCATGAAAATTCAGTAACTTAATGAATATCTAGAAGTGAGACATCAAATATAAATATGAGAGGGTGGTCATTTGAAACAGCAGTAAGTCAGTGTTTAGTTTTAGTTGATAGAACCAGTCACTATTGTCAGAACTAAATCAAGCGAGCTTATGATACAATATTCAGATGTTAAAATTTGTTATAAGTTATATATTCAATGTTTAAATTTAGTTGTCAACGCATGACATTAAAGTAGGCATAGCTGACATCATGAAAATTCAGTAACTTGATGAATATCTAGAAGTGAGACATCAGATATAAATATGAGAGGGTGGTCATTTGAAACAGCAGTAAGTCAGTGTTTAGTTTTTAGTTGATAGAACCAGTCACTAAGTATTTGTCATAATTCTGCTTAAAAAAAACTAAATCGTGGTGACCATCTAGCTAAAATTATGTAAATTACATTATTCATGAGCAGCTCGTATGCAGAATTTGTCGAGAAATTTTTATTCAACTTTTACCTCTATGTTTTCTTACTTAACATAATAAGTTTCTAATTTTTACATCTTAGATATTTTTATAACAATAAAAATATATATAAAAAAACAAGAAATTTAGTTCGTCCATTAGCCTAATTTTTTGCTGCTGGCTCACAAATGAAACTTAAACCTTGTTTTTTTTTTTGTAAAGATAGTATTAGTACTGAAATTTTTGGTGTTTCATCCAGTGGTCTGCTCTAATGTGTAAAATAACTGTGCTGTCAGCTGATGACAAGAAAAAACAAT